CGGCCCTCAAGTATACTTTAGATAAGGTCATTGTCAGCCTTAACCACATGAAATGCGTTTCTGCTGCTTAACTGGTTCTAGTAGGTGGTGGTGTATGCTCGCATGGAACCTCGCCTTCAGCTCTTCTCCGTTTCACTGAGTTAAGTAATTGAGATTTTCACTTGTGAGGCCAAGAAAAGTGGTTCATAATGTCGCACGGCTTTTTATAGCTTCTCATGGGAGGTCATGTTTATCATCTGATCCCTCTGTAAGCTCTATTTCTAAGCTTGACTGAATCCTGCCTCGATGTGCCACTCTGATTAAAGTAGAGAATGTAAACCCTTGATAAATTCTTTTCCTGTTGGCCTATAATCTGTCCCCCTTTATGTTCAGAAAGTTGTGCATATGTGCTTTTCCCCATGAAATACATTTATTTAAAAGCTGTATTTAATGTATTATATAATTTAAAGAAGGAAGTGTGCATCCATTCACCCTGTCCTCAGCTTAAGAAATGGGGTTGACAGGTCCCTTGGGATCCCTGGGTCCCTTTCCAACCCCTGTCTTCCTACGCCACCACGCCTCCCCCAGCTAACCCCGTCCTGAATCTTGGATTATCTCGTCTTTTGCTTTTCTTTATATATGTATCACCTCTGTATATATTTTTCAACAATATGTATTGTTTAGTTTTCCTGTGTTTGAACTTTTGATAAGTGGAATGTTTCATGTACTCTGTCTTGCTTTCCTCGCTCAGCATTTTTTGGGATTCATCCATGTTGCTGCGTGAAGTGTTTCATTCCTCCCTCGCAGCTGTGTGGTATTCCATTAGACGGAAACGAATTCTAATCCAGAGCTCAGTCTGTGACCATACCACCATTAGTGGTCACCGGACTGTCTTGTGCAATTATGAACAAAACTGTTGTGAGCATTCTTGTACCGGTTTCCTGACCCATTTGTGTCAGCATTTCTCTAGGGTGTGTACCTAAGAGTAGACTTGCCTGATTGTAGGGTTTGCACGTTTTCACCNACTTTCCGCACAAAAGCCGCTGTTCGTTTCAGCACCAGCTTGCGTTCTCGCTGGATGGTTTCCGGGTAGATTGTAGATCTGAGCTATAGCGAATTTCAACATCTCACCCCTTAATTTGTCCCAAACTTGTTTTCAGGGTGAATACCATCATTGACTTCCCTTTCTTTTCTGTCACCTGGATTAGCAGTTGGATTTCTCTGGGGAACCATTCTTCACAAAGAAAAAAAAAATTTTTTTTTAAATTCCCTGAATACTGGCTTGGTGACTGAAGGAGAGAAAACTAAGCCGCATTAGGATACTGAAGCGAGGTGGTCGGCCAGGCTTCCCTGCTTAGTGACAAGCTCTCACTCCCAGTCGGAGCTGGAGCCAGCCACGCCCATGCTGGGGGAAAGGGAAAAGTGCCTTGAGGCGTGGGGAAGAGAACTCACAATGTGTTTGAAGCCATGGAACACAAATCCTCCAAAGACAAAGGTTTACTTCTTTGAATGGCCTCCAATGGGGCATTCCCCTTGGATGAAGAGGCCTTTCCCCAACTAGCACTGCTCCCCCTCCCCAACACACACACACACACACACACACACACACACTCACTCACAGACATAACCCCCGCCCCCAGTCCCAGCCAGAAAACAGAGGGAAGTGCCATTTCCTTTCCTCCCCAGCGTCCATTAGGACCAGGGAGTATGAGGAAACGTTTCTTTTAGGATCTCTGTGGACCAAAAAGTCTCTGTTAGGTAAGAGACTCTTTAATGTAGTCTCTTTAATGGGCTCTTTAATGTAGTTACCTTAAGTTGGCTCGTTGCATTCAGGAGGCCATATACAGGCTCTCGCTGACTATCTTCATTTTAAGCCTACTTTAAAAATAAGATCGAGTTTCTGCTTTAAAATGAACATTTAGTATCTACAGGATAGTCCCCATTGTAAATGCTACATTGCCCCCTATTGGTAAGAACTTAAAAAAATCTCGATTTTTCTGTCATAATAAAAATTAAATCGAGATATTCAAATATGCATTGTACAGAAATACCTTTTTTTGTGGCACATTTTCCTCTTGTCCTTATCTTATATGAAGATGGCATTTGTTAAAGTATGTCCGCAGTGCCTTCTAAAACAATTTTTATAAATTGTACAAATTAACACTGATCTGACATTGTTCGCCTTTGTTATATAAGCTTTCCTCTTATTATATTTTCTAAAGAAAAAAATCATTGTTTTTCTCTGGCATAATTTATTTCAGGGTTTATGCAAATAACAGCCAGTCTGTCATTAATTTATGCAATTGTAGCAAAGCAGGTTTTTAAAAAAATGACCGTTTCTCTT